TGTCACTCTCTCTTGCTCTCTGTCACTCTCTCTCGCTCTCTCTTGTTCTTTGTCTCGTTATCGTTCTTTGTCCCTCTGTGTCACTCTCTCGCTCTCTGTCACTCTCTCTCGCTCTGTCAGTGTCTAACGTTCTCTGAAGTAAAATAAATGATCTTTGGAGTAGCCTTCGGTTGTAGAACTACATGTGCGTCGAGGTAGATTTTTTTTGTTGCTTAAAGAAAAGTTTAAGAGCTTTTGAGAAATGAATTGAGGTACAAAGGGTAAGAAACCTGAGGTAGTCTAGCGTTCAGTTGTACCCGACGTAGCTTCAGGCCTAAACTCCAATCGTACCTTTCGAAAGTACAGACAAACAAATAATTCAGTTCTAGCTGAGGTAGGCTTCAGTTGTCAATTTGATCTCCATCAGAAACAAATAACTTCATATGCTAATTGAGCTCCATCAGAAACCTGATGTAGCTCAATTTGGTACTCCAGAACAACTAGAGACGACCTCGGGCACATGCAGTTCTAACATATTTTGTGCTTAATGAACTTTAAGTGCTCGGGCACGGGAGAGTGGGAGGTTTAAAGAACTAGTTGTGTTGTGGAGTGCTAAATTGATGTTCATGAGGTAACGAATTAGAGGTAGTGTACCCCAGTCTAATACTGCTCGGCACGTAAAGTTCTTCAAGCGAAAACCAACATCTGCTTCAAGCATGTGTACTTGTGAAACATGTGACTTAAGTAGTGACTTTTCTTTTCCGTAGAATATTTTGTCCCTCTAGTTTTCTTTTCGATAGAATATTTTTCCCCTGAGGTAGACTTCAGTAGTGACTTTTAGAACTAAAGGTGCATTGCAGTTATGAATGGAGGTACTTAAGGCAAGAAACTTGACATACCGTACTTGTAATTCAGAGAAAAATGTATGTTCCCTTTGGAAAGTTGAGAAAATTTCTGAACTACATATGTCCGAGGTCGACTCCCATTGTCACTTATAGAACTATAAGTGCTCGAGCCGACTCTCGTTGTCGCTTTTAGGACTTTAAGCGCTCTGGAGTACTAAATTGACGTACATGAGGTAAGGAACTCGAGGTAGTCTTGTAAAGTACTCTAACCAGAAGTCTAACTCAAGATCTTTTCCAGATGTACCCCAGTATAATAGTGCTCGACACGTAAAGTTCTTGAAGCGGCAACGGGCATCTGCCTCAGGCATGTGTACTTGTAAAACATGTGACTTAACTTGGTCGAATCATGAAGGCAGTCTCTTATTTTGGTGTTGGATCCTGAGTCTTTCTGGTTTTCTCTTCCACATAATATTTTGTCCCCGAGGTAGTCTTCAATCTTGATTTTTTGACTCCCATTGTCACTTATATTACTATAAGTGACTCCCATTGTCACTTATAGAACTATAAATGCTCGGGCCGACTCTCGTTGTCGCTTTTTGGACTTTAAGCGGTCTGGAGTACCTAATTGACGTACATGAGGTAAGGAACTAGAGGTAGTCTTGTAAAGGAATCTTCAAAAACTTGTTGATCCAACTACTAGAAAACAGGCAGTTTAAACGAACACACTGGTTGTTTTTTTTCAAGAAAGAGAGAAGTCCATTTACACTCTATTTTATTTAATTGACAGAGAACTTTAACCAGAAGTCTAACTCAAGATCCTTTCCTGATGTACCCCAGTCTAATGGTGCTCGGCACGTAAAGTTCTTGAAGCGGCAACGGGCATCTGCCTCAGGCATGCGTACTTGTTAAACATGTGACTTAACTTGGTCGAATCATGAAGCATTTTCTTATTTTGATTTTGGATCCTGAGTCTTTCTGGTTTCTCTTCCACTTAATATTTTGTCCCTGAGGTAGTCTTCAGTCTTGATTGTCTTAACCCAAGGTGCCCTGCAATTCTAAATGGAGGTACAAAAGGCAACAAACTTGACGTAGCGTGCTTGTAATCAGAGACAAATGTCTGCCTAAACTTGAGCAAAAATGTCTGAGCTACACGTGTCCGAGGTCGACTTCCCTTGTCGCTTATAGAACTATAAGTGCTAGGGCACAACTCCCGTTGTCACGTAAAGAACTCTAGGTGCTGTGGAGTACTGATTTGACGTACATGAGGTAAGGAACTCGAGGGAGTCTCGTGAAGGATTACATCCATAAGCAGAAATTTACCTCAAGATCCTTGTCTGATGTACCCCGGTTTAACAGTCCTCGGTCTGTAAAGTCCTCGAAGCGACAACTGCCATCTACCTCGAGCATCTTGTCAAACGTGTGGCTGAACTTGGTCCAATCATTAAGGTAATCTGTTATTTTCAGGTTGAATCCTGAGTCTTTCTGGTTTTCTCTTCCACATAATATTTTGTCCCTGAGGTAGACTTGAGTCGTGACTTGTAGAACTAATGTGCCATGTTGTAGACTTCAGTCGTGACAATATCTGCTCCCGGGTGAGCAAATGTCTGTTCCCTGTGGACAATCTAGCTCATTCCGTCCTCAGCAATTGTCTAATCCACTTACTGCACCAAAAGTTCTCTGCAAGAAATGTATGTTCCACTTAGTGCAGCAACAGTTCTCTGCAGCAAATGTCTAATCCTCTTACGATACCAGAAGTTCTCTGTAGCAAATGTCTGTTCCACTTAGTGCAACAACAGTTCTCTGCAGCAAATGTCCGCAACATCCCTTCTGCGCCCTTCCCCGCCCTTCCCCCGATCATTCCCTCGCTCGTCTTCGGCAACTGTTCTCTGCAGCAATTGTCCAATCCACTTACTGCACCAGAAGTTCTCTCCAGGAAATGTCTGTTCCACTTAGTGCAGCAACAGTTCTCTGCAGCAAATGTCTACAGCTACTCCCAACTCCATGTTTTCCGAACAATTCGTCATCTGAATTCCAAGAAAGGTAGTCCCGCCCAAAAAAATTACTTCGGGTTACTTTCTCCATTTTCGCGACGTACTGACTTAAACGATCTTGCATTAGATCCTTTTGTCCCACGTGTTTTTTGAATTTTTTGGCATCGGCATTCCAAGAAAGCGTCCCGCCAAAATATTTAACTCCGTAATTTTTTTATTTTTTTATTTTTTTTAAACTCCGTATCCGCGGGGACATTTCTTACGATGTACAAACCGTTACAATCTCGCATCAGATCATTTTCTTCCCGCGTGGTTTTCGAAATTTTCGTCGTCCGCATTCCAAGAAAGGTAGTCCCGCCAAAATATTTCGCTCCGCATTACTTTCTCCCGCGGGAACATTTTTCCCCGACGTACTGACTGTTACCGTCTTGCACTAGATCCTTCTCTCGTGATGCGCTTTTCGAAATTTTCAGGATCTGCATTCCAAGAACGGTAGTCCCGCCAAAATATTTGACTCCGCATTAATTTCTACTGCAGGGACATTGTCTGAGGACGTACTGACTGTTATGGTCTCGCATTAGATCCTTTTTTTCTCACTGCTTTTCGAAATTTTCGTCATCTGCGTTCCAAGAAAGGTAGTCCCGCCAAATATTTCGCTCCGCATTACTTTCTCCTGCAGGGACAATTTCTCGCGACGTAATGACTGCTACGTCCTACGTTAGATAGTTTTGTCCTCACTTCGCTTGAATTGAGGTTTGCTCTACCTGCATTCCGCTAGCGACAGTGTTTCCCAAGGCGCCGAACTGTTCTGCCCTCCTTTTCTTAGTGACGTCATAGTTTCTTGTCGTCAACTTCTATGAAGTTCATTTCAAGACGTTCTTCTTCATCTTCGGCAACCTCCAGCATGCATTTCTTTTATGAGAGGATGCGCGTTCGGCGGAGAGCAGTCAATCAACCCCTAAACCTTCTTGGGAGCCATAGTCGTGTGAGCAGCAAGGCTCGCAAAGGTAGCAAGACAATTGCTCGCAGATGGCTACCTCGAATCATTTCTCAATTGAACAGCGGTTGGAGAAGGACGAAGACAATCTCAAGTTCTAGCGGCGGAAGAAAAAGCAAGAACCGAAATCATGATGGTGGAAATGATGCTCTGGGTTTGCGCGGGATGTCCCCAAGGATCACGACGGACAAAACCACCTACAAGCGCGGGCGTGTAAACGCGTTCAGGGAATGGTCAGAAGAGGAAGATGAAAATGAGGAGATGAGCGACGATGAACTTGTTTCTAAACAATATGCATTTATGAAGGAGCTGAAGGATGACGAAACTTCTGAAGGAGGTTCAGTCGGAAAAGACGAAACAGAAAGTTTTGAGGAGGCGAGAGACAATGACCAAGCTAACGAGGGGCACACATTCGCGGACACTCGAGCAACAGATTCAGAAGAAGAGAGCGGCAACAATAAAGATTGTGAAGAACCTGCTTTTGACATGTTCAACACGAGACCACAGGGAAAAACTAACGGGGGACACACATTCGCGGACACTCGAGCAACATATTCAGAAGAAGAGAGCGACAACAGTGAAGATGGTGAAGAACCTACTTTCGACATGTTCAACAAGAGACCACAGGGAGAAGCTATGAGAGAAGCGAAGCACACCTTAACACAGGAGGTGAGAAAAAGTGTCTTCACTGCAACAACGGTTGAAGATAGGCCTCCCTACAATTTAGGAAAGCGCGGCAGAAATTTACGTGTTTACAACAAGAAGGTCAACTTCCACGTATCCACGGAAAGAGTTGAAGAAGTCCTCAAGGGATACTGCTGCAAGGCAGAATGTTTTCAGAAGTTTAGTGCGGAACATGTGTATGACATGCGTCAGATATTCTGGGTGATAAAACAGCCAGAGCATGTCAATTTCCTTCTCGCAGAGATGAGAGCTGCTTCGTACTTTTCAGATGAAGGGAAACTTGAAAAATTAAGAGTAACATTCAACAACGTCAAGGTTTGCACAAGAGCATGGGGGGGAAATGTACGGGTGCTCGACTTCACGTGTTGCAGACGTTCGAAAAACTTTCAAGGATGGAGTACAAACCTATGAACATGCGAACAAGCGACCAAGTGGACTAACAACATCCTCTTTGCTCATTCTTGCTTGGATGCATGAATACTTCCGTTTAAACACAGAAACCATACCCAACAGCGATCAGTTTCATCTCTCGGACACTCTTCTCCGCAAGGATGTTTACGATTGTTTTAAGCGATAATGCGAGTCACATTTTCCTAAATCTTTCCCTTCAAGTTCGCGCTTTATGAAGATTTGGAAGGCGCACTGCCCAAAGGTTGTCATTCCCGCACTGAAGAGGTTTTCAGTTTGTGCACAATGTCTGCGATTCAAGATGAGATGCTCACAAACAACAAATCGTGTAGAAAGAGGTAAACAATTTTGTTTCATTTTCTTTATTCCCCAGACCTTCTAACTTCATTTTGAACAATTAGTCGTATGTTGTTCAGAAAAGGAAATGCAGGGAAATGAAATCTTGTACTGTGCATTCTACTCAGATATCCATTTTTCGTTTAGACTGACAGTCTTTTCAATGCAGGCTTCAAGGTCCAGGAGCTATGTCAATGAGAATTTGAGTCGTAAAGTTGCTCCAAAATGAGTTCTCATTGGGACATTCGAGTGCCAAATTTGTGACTTGCAATTTGAAAATGTAATTTCAAATCAGGAATTTTAGTCAAAAGACAATATAGTCTTATAATGACTTGAAGAAGTTTTATCACTGGACAATCTGCTCCTCTTCTGGCTTCGTCCTAGACTAGTGATGTACTGGGAGTGTCTTATGTTTTCTGAACGTACTCTCAAAATGAGAATTTATATCACATGTAATTTTAGTTCCACAACAAGTACAAATGTAAAACTTGTGTTGTGTTTTATCACAGGTCATTCTAGTCCTATAGCGAATCATTATAGTCCTATAACAAGTAACAATGCAAAACCTGTGTTGTGTTATATCACAGGTTATTAATCACAGGTAATTTTAGTCCTACAACAAGTAAAAATGTAAAACTTGTGTTGTGTTCTATCACAGGTTATTAAAGTTTTATCACAGGTCATTATAGTTCTATAAACCTGCGATCAAAATGTCTTGCGAAAAAGAGATCCGGAACCTTAAACTCCTGTAGGTCGCTGACAATTTCTATCACAGGATGTGTCATGAACCTAAACGAATGCAGTTTTCAGATGAGAAGTTCAGTCACAATGCATTGTAGTCCTAAAATGAGTCATTCTCAATCATTCAGAAGATGCAAAGTACCGTTGTTCCTAAAATTACTCGTTGTCTTCGATTTTTTGACATGTTGCAGAAACCTTCGAAAAAGCGTTGTTGAAGCACCGCCTGATGCAAGGGGAAGAGAGACAAAAGCTGAGCAAGCATCATCACAAGGCTTCAAGCAGACCTTCGGAATATGGAGCAATTATCATCGATGGAATGGATTAAAGCAAGACAATACTGCCTCACTTTACAAGATCCCCTAAAGACTCCAGACTCAAGGAAGGAAACTTTGTGGAGGTTCATGTCGTCGGTGCGAAGATTTTAGGTATCACGCCGAGCGCGCATGCAACGTTATTCTTCGACAATTTCAAGTCGGACTCCAATTGCATGTTGACCGTCCTTCACCGTCGAATCACTCATCTTCCCAGACCTCTTCCAAGAGTTCTTTATTTGACGTTGGACAACACTTCGAAAGAAAACAAAAATAAGTTTGTGTTAGCATATCTCGTCTTCCTCGTGAAGATGAACGTTTTCAGTAAGGTCAAGTTGAATTTTCTACTCGTAGGTCACACCCACGAGGATATAGACCAGATGTTCAGTTGATTCTCTAGAAAATTAGCCACACTGAATGCATTCGACCTTCCTGAGCTACAACATATCATTAGAGAATCGTACAGAACTGAACAAGAGCACAACGTTCTTGTCGAAGAAATGACAGAGACGATGGACTGACAGTTTCACGTAAAGGATCATTTGCACAACGTCAACGATATTAGTTCCAATCAACACTTCCGCATTAAACGCAATGATGTAGGAGAAGTCGGTGTCTGGAGCAAGCAATATCACAATTCGACATGACAACCCAATAACAGAGAAGGTTTGAACATCTTCAAGTCTGAGCCATCCGGAGAAGTCAGAGCCTCTCTGAAACATGCTATTAGATCTTTGGAGGTCAGGTTAAGATTGACATGTGGTGATGATGGTGAAATTGCTGAAAATTGTGCCTTGAAAGGTGACAATCTTCGACGCGATGAAAACCCTTTGTCTCGCCGTAGACCACGAGACTATTCTAAAGACAAAGCACAAGATCGCTCTGTTTCAATTGCTGCATTGGAAGCAAATATTGAGGCCTTGGAGAAGTACGCTCAACCACAAAATCTGCTTTGGTGGAAATAATTCGTACGGACGCAAGAATTGCTAGATCTAGAAGACACAAAGCTCAAAGTTCCTTTCCAATGGCCAGTAGCTGCAGAGGAAGAGACAATGGCAGAGGCGACTGCTACGTCAACTGCAGATGACGTTGGTCGTCGCCTGGATGACATATTTTCGCCTGAAAGACCTGTCTACGTTGGCACGAGAAAGACCAGGCAATTTAGAGAAGAAAGGGATGACAAGTTTGAAGATCTTGTGCTTGACAAATTTATCGCACTACGCGCAGCACCCGAGCAGGAAGAGAGAGGTAAACCTTACCACATCGGTAAGGTTATCGAGCTGCTGCCACGAAGAAGCTTTAAGGTTGTCTGGTTTGTTCAGCGTGAAAAAGGAGAAGGGTATTACCCTTATTACAGAAAGAAGTCCAGCAATGAACATTTTGAGGATATATTTCATTGGAGCTGCGCTGTTCTTTGTTACAACTTTGAGCCGAAGACGAACAAGACCCTTTTTTCTTCGACTATAAAGAAAATTTATGAAATTTTAGAATCAACAAGTATCGAAGATGATGAAAGCGAAGACATCATGAAATCTCCGTCAAATGACTGTTTGACTGTTGTCGAGGACGAAACCGAGGTGAATTTTGTGATCGGTGAGGATAACATTTTCACCGAACATTAGTTGACTATGCCTTGAAGATTTGCTTGTAGTAGCCTTAGTTTCCGAGCTGAATATTCTACTTATTCTTGAGAAGAATTCTGACCTCTGTAGATGTTAGCAAATTCTGAACTCTATTGATGTTAGCAAATTCTATCAGTGCAGGTTATGTAGAGGTAACTGTTTCGAAATGTAATTTAGAGGACTTTAAGTTCTTTGACACATTTTATGTTTCCAGAGTCCTTTGTCTTACGACTAAACATTTTTCGGTCACATTATTGTTTTACTTAGGAATTCCTTAAAATCTCAAGTAGCTTCGTTACATTTCCTGTTTACCACGACGCTTCTGTGCATTTTGGCGACCGTTGCTTTAATCTAAATGTCGTGCGTTATAGGACTATAAATCGTTTGTTACATTTCATGTGGTGGCGTGAGTTTGTCATAGGATTAAACATTTATCGTTTACATTCTTGTTTTCTTTATGAAATCCTCCCCATGTAGTATAGAACTATAACGTCCTTGTGACATTTCTTTTTTCTCACAGCACTTTTGTGCAGGAGATGTCAATCCATCTCATTTATTCGGTTTTTTACGACCGATGTTGTAATCAAATTGCCATGCGTTATAGGACTCTAAATCATTTCTCACATTTGTTGTTTTCGTCGGAGTTTCTACTGGGATTAAATATTTGTCGCGTGCAGTTTTGTTTTACTTAGGAAATCCTCAAAGTGAAAGTAACAGGATCCTTTCATTTCACAATGTTTTCAATGACTCATATAGGACTATAAGTTTTTCGCTACGGTTCATGTTTACGAGAGCACTGTTATGCAGGAGAAGTTGACCAACCTCATGTCTTTGGTTTTTGGCATGTCATCTTTATGCCCTATGTTATAGGACTATATGTCCGTTTGTCGCGTTCTTGTGTTAGGTGAAAAATCTTTCAAGTTAACACATTCTGCTTTTCAAATCAATACGTACGTGTTATTTTCAATATGTTGGTACTTTGTCATATAGGACTATAAGTCATTTGTGACATATCGGGTTAATTGTACAGATCTCATGCGCGAGAAACTGATACGCCTAATTTCTTTCGTTTTTGCTGCTTTTCTCTTTCCTTCTTTTCATGGTTACATGCTTTTCGTTTTTCCTTTTCGAATTATCGTTTTTTTTTGTTACTTTGGATGTCTTTATCTAACTAGAATTAATTCTTTCGAAAATTGTGTGAAATTGTGCTTTTGCTTTCATCAATTCACCAGGTTAACTACTTTTATGTGAAAAATATTTCTGCGCTTTATTTAGGGACAATTATGATGTGTCTTCGCGCTGACTCCGGACAAAATGAGTAAAAAAATTGTACTTTTTGGGGTCCGAAACGTTCTTTCAATTTTCGTTCGCTTCGTCTATATGTTTTGTTGGGTTTTCATCATTTGTTGGGTTTTCACAAACCCGATGTTGGGTTCGTTAATCCAAAGTTTTCATCTTTCCCTTGTTTTGATCACAAAAACATTAGTCCTGTATCTTACTTAGTTGATTAACTTTCCAAATTGTTCTCAGTCAACCCCATGCAATCCCTAACACACTAGCCTCGATTATCCTCACAAAGAGAATACTCAGACCTTTGTCAACAAGCAAAACCGACTGACTCAACAAGGCGACCGGATCAACCTGGAGGACCTCATTTCCAACCCCAGTTCAATGTCTTTAAGCAAAACAGTAAGGCGACCGGATGAGTCTGGAGAATCTCGTTTCGAGCCCCAGTTCAATGTCTTAGGCAAAACAACAAGGCGACCGGATCAGTCTGGAGAACCTCATTTCCAGCCCCAGTTCAATGTCTTAGGCAAAACATCAAAGCGACCGGATCAGTCTCGAGGACCTCACTTCCAGCCCCAGTTCAATGTCT